CGGTGGGCATACGCCGGACCCTTCGATCCGGAGCATCGCGAGGGAGAGCCGCAGCTGTACACGAGGAAGGGGGAGCGGCCCGCCGCAGCTGAAACAGGCTGTTGTGTTTGAAAGGAGATTTGTCGTGGCGTCGGAAGACGTCCTCGCTGCAGCCTGGGGGAGGTTCATCCCGCCGCCGGCCCCCAGCCCGCCCCCAGCCCGCCGCGCACTCTCATCCGGCAACGGCTCCGCAGAAGAGGCGTGCACTCAGTGCCGACGAAGGTCAGGCGGGAAAGAAACACACAGACACAATTAATCGTCGACTCCCAGGAAAATATGCAAAAATATGGGAAGTGGTGGGGAAGACAAAAACCCAGAAAGTATGGGAAAGTATGGGGGATATTTTTATTTGTGTGTATTTATTTGTGTGTTCCAGTTCCCCTTCAGAAGGCATCTATACCACCACCGTGCCAGGCCAGGGCCAGCCTGTGCCCCAGGACGGCGTGTAGACGCTCCTGGCCTCGGCCAGGATGGCGTATGCACCGTGCCAGGGCCAGGATGGCCCTGGCCTGGCACGGTCGTGGTGTATAGATTTACGTCGGGCGTGTCCCCCTACAGGGGGATTTTCGACGAAAAGTAAAGCATACCCCCAAAATGCCCCAAGAAGGTCAAACAATATTCAAAACAAGTCCCCCGGCTATTTGGGGTATTGATTTATTTTTCGTCGAAAATCTCCCTGCAGGGGGACAGGCCCGACTTAAGTATAGACCCTCCTGGCCTCGGCCAGGATGGCGTATACACCATGCCAGGGCCAGGATGGCCCTGGCCTGGCATGGTCGTGGTGTATAGATTTACGTCGGGCGTGTCCCCCTACAGGGGGATTTTCGACGAAAAAAATACCCCCAAAATGCTCCAAGAACATGAAACAATATTCAAGACATAGTCCCCAGACTATGTTTGTATTATGGTTTGATTATGTTTGGGTGTATTGTTTTATTTCTCGTCGACAATCTCCCTGCATGGGGACAGGCCCGACTGAAGTATAGACCCTCCTGGCCTCGGCCAGGATGGCCCTGGCCTGGCACGGTCGCGGTGTATGGATGCCTTCTGCGTATGAGTGGGGCTCGCGCGGTTCGGGCAGCAGCTGCAGGGCAGCTCTTTCTCCAACATAGGGTCTTCGTCTGGACGGGTAATGGGGGGCTCGTCCGGGAACCGTTTTGGGCTCGCGCGGTTCGGGTAATTGAGTCGGACGACGACGACGATGACGATGACGATCGTCATCGTCGTCGTCGTCGTCGGCAGGGCAGGGCAGCTCTTTTTTCAAAATAAGGCAGTTGCCTGCGGTTCCGATGCAATCCAGCAGGATCATAAGAGGGGGATCTAGAGGCAATGTAGTGGGGTTCGCGAGGTTCAGGGTTCAGGTACGGCCGAGCAGGATCATAAAGATGAGATTGGTGTTCCAGTAGCACCCGTTCGTTCCTGCATCTTCGGCCCATCCCTAGCCATCATCGCTGATCGTTTTCGCTCAGATGCATCCGTACCGCGTATCGCGCTGTAGGAATTGCATCGGCGTCGTGGTATGCTCGGTGGCGCCAGGTCCTCGGGGCATTTGGAGAGTCCCCGAGTGTCAAGGAAGCAGCTGATAGCCTTCAGCCTGTCGCATGGATGTGGCATGCCGTTCTGGCCCCTTGGCTTGCGCGCTGGGCGCTCCAACAGAAGCCCATGACGGCTCCAAAAGTTGACCTGCATTGCTTGAGACGTCGAAGAAACCCTCAACACCGCCCAAGATGGTCTGAACCATCGTCCAGGAGACTCTCAAGACGCCTTAGGAGTGCCGCAAGAGTACCTCCATAAGGGCGCCTTGGGATCCGAAATTGTTTTTTGCATACGAGCTCGATGATGTTCGAGCTCCCGCTATTGCTGGCTCCTGACACCTCACGACGGCTCAAGAGGCCCCCCAGACCAGCCCAAAAGAGAACCCCACGATTGCCCCAGACGGCCCGAGAGAGCCTCAAGACGGTCCACGATGTCTCCAAAACGGCCCAATATGCCCGCAAAAGGACCCCATGAGAGTCCCAAGTTGAGGAAATCGAAAGGATCCCATGGGCGTTTCCCCAATATAAAACCCATGACCGCGAAGACGCCCCCGGGCTTCCAGAGCCCCAAAGATTGCCCACCCAAGAGGGGCCCGAGAGCCGTTCTGGACGCTCTTTGGACGCTTCTGGGGCAACGTTGGGTCTCCTCTGTGCCTAGCTTTGAGCTTTCTTGGACGATCTCATCTTTGGACCATCTCGAAGCCTTAGTGGCCCATCAGAGCTGGGCAAGCGGAAAGGGCTTATCGACGTCACCGATGATTTGTAGGCCGAGGCGTTGGGAGACCGTGTGAGCAGGACGTGTTTGGAGCATAGAACATAGCCAATCGAGTGGTACATACTCGAGCCCACGTCGCGCACGTGGTTTCCAGGGACTAGAACGTGACGCGCGCGAGACTCCGGAGCGGCTTCGGATTATGTTGAATGGTGACGGCCTTCGTGTGAGCCTTTCCGCATGCCCCCAACGCGTGGTGATACCTGGGAACAGGAGCGCGCGCGGAGCGGGCTCGAAAGTTTCTAGTCTACCGGCAATACGCCAAGGGCTTTAATTGTTGTAACGTATCAAGCTGTTTATTGCAGGTCCTCCACCGAGCACCCGTGCCACGTCGGAGTTTGGGCATGCACATCTCGTGTGACAAATGAGTCGTTGGATCGTTTCGTCGGATATGTCGTTTCGTCTGCAAACGTGCGCACTTGTGTAGTTGTACACGTGCGCGTGTGCATAATTGTCGTGGGGTCTCCCTGTGAGTCCGCGACGTGCCCGGGAGGCGAAGTCGCATGGCAGGCCATTTGGATTACCTCGTGGGGCATTCTCCGGGGCCTTTTGGAGGGCGTCTCGGAAGCCTTGGGCACCTCTTGGAGGCCTCTCGAAGGCCCATCCTCCTCATCCGCCATCCTGCTTCCCCTTGCCTCCTCCTCCTCCTGCGTCCTCCTGCATCCTCCGCACTTAGCCTCCCCCCTGTCCTACTCCTCCTTCGCATCCGCCGCCTCCTCCTCGCTCTCCTCCTCCCCGTGCCCTATCCCCCCACCCCCTTCCCCAACAGCCCCTTGGTCGTTCTGACGAAGGCTTCCCGGGGATTGCCTCCTAACACCCCACCTCCCGGCCGCGCGGAGGGCGGCTAGGCGGGCTTGCCCTTTTTTTGTTCCTCTCCTGCCCCCTCCCCCTCTCCGACTCTGCCTGCCAGGGTCGCGCGAGGGGCTGCGGTGTCTCGCACGTTGCCGGTTGGAGTGGAGTTCTATTACAAAATGCCCCACGTCTCTCCTTCCTCAGCCACGCGCAGAGGGGGATAGGGGGAGGGGGGAGGGCTTCTTAGGAGCACCCCTGCTTCAGCGCGGGCCCATCCAGGTGTAGGGCCGGTGCCCTCTAAGAAAGAAGCAACCTCCCTCTAAGAAGCCTTGCCCCCTAACCCGATCCCCCTGTGCGCGCCGCCAACTTCCGCTCCTCCTCCGCCCCTGCCGCTCCCACCCCCCGCCCTGCTCGCGCCGCTGGGCCGTGTCGACGAGACGAATCAAGAGTGACTTTTCGCCGGAGTGTTCTTTGGTGCGGGCCCGTGAGGGTCCCCCGATCGCCGAATGCGATGAGATAGTAGCGTGTACCGCGCCTGTGTTTGGTCTCCCTGCGGACCAAAAAGCCGCGCACACCAAAGGTAACTCTTCTAAACCTGGGTCACTCCTTGCGTGTAGTCGGTACCCTACCCCTTTCCCCCCTGTGCGCGCCGCCCACTTCCGCGCCTCCTCCGCCCCTGCCGCTCCCACCCCCTGCGATGCTCGCGCCGCTGGGCCGTGTTCGCGCCCCCTGCTCTCCAGGGGGCTCCGTCGGCGCGTCCGCCGCCCTCGCGGGCTGGCGGGCGGGGGCCCGGCGAGAGGGCGCGCGCGGGCCGGGCCCGAGGGCAGGAGACGACAGCTCCCCCAGGAGGGGGCCCAGCGACCGCTGCTCGAACACCACCACGGCGTCGGAGTACCACGCCGACGGAGGAGGGGGGGAGGGGGGGCAGCGGCAGGGGCACAGTTGAGGGCGGGCGGGAGCGGGGGGCGGGGTGTAGTTGGCGAGGCGGCGAGGACGAGGACGACGACGCGGATGAGGATGAGGACGAGGACGAGGACGAGGACGAGGACGAGGACGAGGACGAGGACGAGGACCAGGACGAGGACGAGGACCAGGAGGAGGAGGAGGAGGAGGAGGAGGAGGAGGAGGAGGAGGAGGAGGGAGGAGGAGGAGGAGGAGGAGGAGGAGGAGAGGAGGAGGGGAGAGAGGAGGAGGGAGAGGGAGGGGGAGGAGGAGGAGGAGGAGGAGGAGGAGGAGAGGGGGCGGGGGCGGGGTGTATTTGGCGAGGAAGCGAGTACGAGGACGAGGACGAGGACGAGGACGAGGAGGGAGGAGGAGGAAGAAGAAGAGGAGGAGGAGGAGGAGGAGGAGTGATGGGGAGGGAGGGAGGGAGGGAGGGAGAGAAGCAGAAGTAGGAGGAGAAGGAGGAGGAACAGTGCAAGCCCAAGGAACCATCAACGATGTTGGAATATTCCCTCCCTCCCAAGCTTCCTCTTCATGGGCCCCTACAGTGGTACATCTCCATTGAGGGATCTGCCTCGTTGGAAGACAACCGTTTGAAGACCCGAAAGCATGCCAAAACATTGTTCTCGGGATCTCAACGCCACGGATCAACTTGACTGTTGCGTCTTGACGAACCTGGACCGTACCAGAAGGCCATTCTTGGGACTTCAACATCGCGAATCACCTAAGTGTTGCACCCGCAAAATCCGGAATCCTTCACAAACACCATTTCTGGTACGTTGAACGTGCGAATCCGTGAAATTCTTGCAAATGTTATGAAACGTGTTGCCATATTTTAAATAGGAGCCGCCCTAAAACTGTGAAGCTCTTGTTTTTAAGCATGTGCGCGGCGCTCAGGCGAGAGCCACCTTTTGAAAACGGGTGATCCTCAATCCGTGAAGCTCGTGCAAATGTTTTTAAGCATGTGCGCGGCGCTCAGGCGAGAGCGACATTTTGAAAACGGGTGATCCTCAACCCGCGAAGGTCTTGCATTTTTTTAGAACGAATGTGCGCGGCGCTATGGCGAGAGCCACACTTTGAAAACCACCCGCCCGCCATGTCTGAAACTGCTGACAGTTTTGAAGCGTCAGAATCAACCATGGTGAGGATGTCTCGGGCGAAACGCCCGGGCCACCCCAAAAACTGGCCTCGGGGTGCGACAGGGAGAAGCTATGTATGAGGAAAACGAATGGGGGAGGAGGAGGAGGAGGAGGAGGAGGAGGAGGAGGAGGAGGAGGAGCAGGTGAAACCGGACAGTCGTGCAGCGTGCGACGTGCACACGCAGATGCGGACTCCGCGCCTTCAGCTGCCGCACGCCTGGCGGGGCCGCGGGCCCGCAAAGGCCGGCCGAGCACCCCGCAGCAGGCCAGCGGGAGCGGGAGGGGGAGGGCGGCACGAACGAAGTGGGCACGGGGAGTGCACGGGAGGGGGCACGGGAGGGGGAGGGGGGAGGACGAGGGGGAGGACACGGGAGGGGGGGGGAGGGACGAGGGGGAGGGAGGACGGGGGGGAGGACACGGGGGGGGGGGGGGGGAGGGGGAGGGCACGGGAGGGCGGCGGGAGGACGAGGCTGCACGAACGAAGTGCGTACGGGAAAGAATTGGCACGATTCTCAGCAGCAGCTCCTGCTCAGTTTTGAGGAGGGCCGGCTGTCCGCGCCGCCCAGCAGCGGCCGTTGTTCGTTTGGGACAACGCTTGCTGTCGGGCATTGTGCCCAGTCTTTCTGTACCCATTTGGCGTCCGAAACGAGTGGCAGGGGGAGGCGGGGACGGACGGGCAGGGAACGGAAGGGAGGACGGAGGGGCGGGCAGCGCTGCGGAGCGGAGCGGAGCGGAGGGACGGGCGGAGGGGGGAGGAGGAGGAAGAGGGGGAGGGGGGGCAAGAGGGGCAGCGGCAGCGAGGGATGGTGGGGAGCGGGGGGGGCGGTGGGGGAGGGCGAGGATGACGAGGTGCGGGAGGGAAGGCGAAGCAGGGAGGGAGAGAGAGAGAGAGAGAGAGAGCGAGAGGGAGAAATGGACGGAGAGGAGGAGCAGGAGGAGGAGGACCGCGAGTCGGGGTTGGGACGATAAGGATAGCGACGAGGGCGAGGGACGAGGGCGACGGTAGCGAGGGCGAGAGAGAATCTACTTGTGAGGGTGGCGAGGACGGAGGGGAAGGCGTGCAACAGCAGGACGAGGAAGGGGGCGACAGGGCTCTTCGTTCCCTGGGCCTCATGTGCAGAGTTCCTCCAGCAACACGACTGCGCGTGGGGTGGTGCCGCGGCGGCTTCAGGTGCTCCGCCTCCCCTCCGCTCGTGCTCTTCATGCTTCACGCGGCTGGTTCGAAGTCATCCCGTCAGCAGTGCCCAGCAACAGGGCGGGGGGGCGCCAGCGGATCGGGCGGCATCGGTGCCATATTTTGAGGGTTCGCGTGCGCCGATGCGTGGATCTGGCGCCCACGCGCCAGATCTACGGATCACTTATCTACGTTGGCGTGCGCCCGAGAGAAGGGGGATAAGGAGGTATCTTCGTGTTTATCCTGCCGTAGGTATCCCGCCATTCTTCCTCTCCACCGCCCCATTGCCCATCTCAGCGCGCGTTCGCATGCCCATTCAGTAAGCAAGTGGCCGAGTTGAGGATGGTGGAAGCGTTGCTACAACTGTCTCTACTGTTGATCCCAAGGTTTGTACATGTTTTCGCTTCCGCAGAACAGTAATGTCCATTATATTGAAGTGTACTTATTTATGTCATTGCTACCCTGTTACTACGACGACTACAACTACTACGACTAGAACTATCCGTAAGGGCTTCGCCCCCTGCCGCCGGCCCCCTCTCGAATAATGGGCAATGCAAGAGCGAAATCATGAGGCCTTGGCGCCGCCGTGAGGCAGCGTCGGGACTTCACGCGAAGACGGTGAGTAACCGGCAAGACAAATTGAGATTATGACGATAGTGTTGAATTCGGTTTTTATTTCGATGGTTTATGGTTTCGGATACGCGATTATTGCGTAATGTAGAGAGGTGTATGGCTTCGGGGTCGAAGACATTGCGTCATTTACGCGGGTGTATGGTTTCGGAGACGCGAATATTGTGTAATTTACAAATGTGTATGGCTTCGGGCACGCGATTCGTGCGTAACGTATGAGGGTGTATGGCTTCGGGCTCGCTCTTCTTGCATCATGCACGCAGGTGTCAGGTGTATTATTCCGGAAACGCGAAGATTGCGCCTTTTACATGGTTGTAGCCGCATGCCGATGATAACAAAGGGACCCCCCCCCTTCAGTGTTTAGAGTTGATTATCGTCGCCCTATACAAAATTCAAATTGGGCGGCGAGCGCTGAGGCCGAACTTCATTATCACCTCGAAACGCTATGTTGAGATAGCAACATCAAGCGATGTTGATATAGCAACATCAAGCGAAGCGATCACACTTATCTCATATTTTATCCGTATTTTATATTTGTATCTATCCCCGCGCGCGCCTGAACTTTTTTATCCCTGGGGTTTGTTCGGATATGTAACAATTCAGAGGGGTACCCCAGCAGGTATTCCCAGGGCCAGGCTGAGGACAGAGAATGAGTTTTTGCATCGTCGCCATATGTTGGCTCAAGAAAAATATCCCCTCCCAACCAGCACCAGAGTTTGGGGGAAGGAGATTGTTTTGCATGGTAGCGCGGAGCAAGATCTGATCCACGGCATTTTGCTGAGTGACTCCAGGGAGTCACGGGTCAGCTTCCGCCATGGAGCAACAGGTGCAGCTGCAAGCACAGCTGATAGCCGAGCTGAGGGACTTGCTGCAGCGACAAGCGGCGGAGCTCCAGAAAATGGCCGCCGCACCACCAGCAGCACCAGCGCAAGCAGCAGCACCAGTGCCCCCAGCAGTGCCACGACGCATGGAAGGTATCCTTGACAGCAAGATAGTTGGGAAGGTCAAGCAGTTCGATGGCCAACGTTCGTCATGGAAGACGTTTGAGTTTCACTGGAAGGCCTACTTAATGGCCAATGATTTTCGGTTTAGAAGGATGTTTCAGGCCATCGAGGACGAACCTGACGTGGCAATGCTGATGAATGATGTGGGCAGTGTGAATAATCCAGATTTCGAGCCTCTCTCCAGCCAGCTGTACTTTATGTTGGTGCTGGCAATGCCAGAAGACAGCACGGGCGAGAGCATCCTCTCCAACACACCTGAGGGAGAAGGCGCCCTGGCATGGAAGAAGCTGTTGAACGAGTACTCTCCCAATGAGCCAGGGAACATAGTCGGACAGTTCAGGAAGATTCTAGGTACGGTGTTCCCCAAAGATACGGACATCGCCACAGAGATTATGAAGTTAGACAAAGAGATCGCCCGCTACGAGAAAGCGAGTGGCGAGACGGTCTCAGCGAACGTATCACGAGGCATCCTCCTAGGGGCTCTCTCAGAGGAACCCGATCTCCAGAAGCATCTGTTCCGCAACCTTCGGAGTTCACCGACCTACGCCGACATGAGAGCAGAAGTGGTGAACGCCCTTGCAGCCCAGAGGAGCGTGCACGACGACGCCATGGACATTGGAGCGCTCAAGGGCGGCAAGTCCAAGGGCGGCAAGGCGAAGAGCGGCAAGGACGGCAAGGGCAAGAAAGGCAAGGGCTACGACTCCCAGAACGCCGAGAAGTGGTGCAGCTACTGTGAGAAGCCGAACCATGTACGCGCGGAGTGCCGCAAGAAGGCTGCTGATGATCGGAGACGGGATGCAGAGGAGGCCGCGGCGAAAGCCAAGCATGACAAGAAGGATCGGCAGAAGCAACGGAGAGCTCAAGCTAAGGCTGGAGCCTTGTCGGCCGGCACAGCTCCGTCACTACCGACTACGGGGGCGCTGCCGACGGCGATGCCGACGAACCCAGGTGCGACCGGTACTGGGCCGTCGTGTGCAGCGAGCAGTGCGAGCACCATCCCTGTTGGGCTGCGAGCTTTGACTTCGAGCTCGGACG